CTAAAGAATTTTTTTAAAAGGCAATAAAATGAATTTTCCAGGCCCTGCACAGTGACCACGACGCTCCCAACTGCAGGGACCAAAGGGCAATTTTTCCCTCCTGCATTACCTCTCCAGGCATACTTAAAAAATACAGAAATTTGTGCCCGGACCTTTTTTTTCAAGTGGGTAGAGTTTCGGCCCTTGTACTAATGGGTCGTGGATTTGATTTCCTGTTGACAACTCCAAATCCTAACTAGAGGAAAAAGAGAATGAGAAGAGAAGGACCCATCAATGATGAGGAGAGAATCATTGATCTGATCGGCTGCCTCCTACATGCCCCGTGTTGGGCATGAATCAAATTCCTGGCCCGGAATCAAATCCAGGGACTCCTCAAGTCCCGCAGGGCTGAGGTTTCTATTCCACTGGGGCCAAAACCTGCCAGGGGCAAATTTTTTCTTTTAAAAAATCATTGGAGGAAAATCGGGGCAGGCTGGCTTCACCTTTAAAAAGGGTGAGCTCTGACCTTTCCCGGCCCAGGGGGGGGGGGGGCACTGTGCCCAGCGAGGGGGGGGGGGCCAGGTGTCCGGGAGCGGGGGAGCAGGGAGCCCCGCCCAGAGGGGGGAGGAGAGGGGATGCCTCCAGAGCGGCCCGTTGGGACAGAAGGGGTGGACAGTCTGAGGCCTTCCGGGTGGAGGCACTTACAGTGCCCGGATCGCGCGGGCCTCAGCCGCCCTCGCTGGGCCGGGCGCCCCGCACTGGGAGGGGAGGCACAGCTTAGGTGGGGTGGAGTCGGACACTGAGGAGGGTACCACTTCCGCCCTCAAGGGCTGGACCCCAAAGACACTGGCCAGGGTTAGGTTGGTGGCACATAAAGTGTACTTTGTTGACTAGAAGATGGGGCGGCCAGGGCAAGGAATGGGAGGAGGACGGCCGGCAGGGAGGCTGGGGAAGGGGGGATGGCAAAGGCCTGGTGGCTTGGCCCTGGGCTGGGGGTTAACGCCCCCCAAACGGAAGCTTTAATATCAAGCAGGTCCCAGAAAGGAAAGGGGAAGGTTTAAAAGAGAAACCAGGGAACATGGCAGGGGTACAGGGTGGGTGGGGGGTAATAATAGGGAAGGAAGGAGGGAGGCAGGGTTCAGGCTCACAAGGAAAAGGCTAATGGGAAGGGGAGGGTGGGAGGAGTAAGAAGGAGACAGACATGGGGAATGAAGGGAGAGAAGGGAGGAGGGAGGGAGGGAGAGGGGCCCGCAGGAGGTTCAAAGGGAGGGAGGGAAAGAAAGCGGGAAAGAGAAGGATGCTAAAATGGGGTGATGCCAGGAAAATAGTTAAATAAAAAGAAGAAACAGAATGTGAGAGTGAGGGGAGTTTAAAAGGAGGAGTTAGTAAGAAAATTAAGTACAGGGTGATTTTTTAAAAATGTAGTCAGACATCCCCTGAGGGCTCCTGGACTGTGAAAGGGCTTGGCTTGGCTGAGGCCCCTCCCTCCCCCCTACTCTAGTTTTAGATATGATAATGGCATTGTAGTTGATAAGAGTTTAACCTAGGTATGTATTTAGGAATTCATCATGATATGATGTCTGAGAGATTTAGATTTGCCAAAACCGGTTTGGCTCAGTGGATAGAGCGTCGGCCTGCGGACTGGAGGGTCCTGGGTTCGGTTCCGGTCAAGGGCATGTGCCTGGGTTGCGGGCACATCTCCCGTGGGGGGTGTGCGGGAGGCAGCTGGTCGATCTTTCCCTCCCATCGATGTTTCTAACTATCTATCTCTCTCCCTTCCTCTCTGTAAAAAATCAATAAAATATATTTTTAAAAAAAAAAAAAAGAGATTTAGATTTGCTTTAAAATAATCCAGTTTATAGAGCAGCAGGTGAAGTGGATGGGATACAGATGAAACAATTTGGACATGGGTTGAGTAACTGAAGTCAGGGCTTTTAGAATTACATACTAAATAGTATAAGATAAACATTAAAAAATTCCACTAGGCTTTAACTCAATCAAGGGAGGTTCTAACCCCAGTTTCTGCACTACAAGATCTTAAATCAAGTTGCTTTCCTCCTGTTAGAACTCTGTTTCTTTATCTCCAAGACCAAGACGAGACTAGATTAGCATTTTATAAAGCTTTTACCTGACCCCCATCCTGACAAAACAAAAAACGAGTTCCATGATTAACTGTTTCACAGATACTGGTTAAACAGGTCCCAAGGCTGGAGAGGTGGAGAGACAGTATCTTCTGACTGTCTCGCTGCTGAAGCCTTTTCTGAATGAAAATACAAACTTGGGACCCTGGCCAGTGTTTCACAGTGGTTAGAG